TTTGTTGGACACTCTAGCTATATATGTTGGGCTGTTGTTGTTGTGAAAATTTGCAAGTTCAATTAGCTATGAAGAATAATACTGAATAGCTATTTATGTATATACATACATATACATACATATATATATATATATATATATTTAGTTTTGTAATATTTTTCTTGTTTTCATATATTTATTATATTTCTTATAATAGTTAACACTAGTCCCTTTGTGTTGTCTTCCCCTATTTGCATGCCATTTACTAGTTTTGTTTTATGGGCTAGCAACCGATTGTTAAAACCAAATATATATTTAACACATGAGTTCATGTTTATTTTTATAAATGTCATTTTTTTCATAACTTTAAATTGTTTTAATATCTTGTTCTTTTTATGTAAATTTCATCATAGCTCACAAAAAATATACCATGAATGGGGGGAAGCTGTTGCCTACAAAAAAATCAAACAAAAATAATGGCCCACCAACTTGGATATTCCTAAAGTTGAGTAATTTTTTATTCAATGTTTTTCATCCATAATCATTCCATACATGTTTTTGTTTATGCTTATCATTTGATTTTGATTTGTCCCGTGCCATCAATAGATAGGGAGTACATAGTGCTAATGCTTTATTATCCATTATATATACAATAGTATTCAATCCATTACTAATGAGAATTTACACTTGATATGTAGTTTAATCTTAATAAAAATTTAGAGAGGGGGTATAAAGGCTTTGGAATTTTTCCAAATCTAATGAAAATATTATAAAAATTTATAGCCTTTTGACAATAAGTACTCCTACACCAGGAAGAAATAAATGACTTTTAAAATAGTTTGGTAGGTCAACTTCTTCAAAATCTATTTATATAGCCCAGATTTTATAGTTTGTTCATCATAGTTAGGATTTTAGCTAGACTTAGAAAAGTTAGATGGTTGGAAACTCTACTTAGTATATTGTCATAGTTTGTTGGACTTTGATTGTGAATATTGAACATTTGAATCGATCATGGTTTTGGTGTTCCATTGGTATTTATGTTTATATTGCTATTGTTGTCGTTTGTTGGACAATCTGGCTATATATGTTGGGATGTTCCTATTGTGAAAATTTGTAGGTTCGATTGGCTGTAAAGAAAAATATTGAATAGCTATTTAAAAATAGCATGTTACTTTCATAAAAATAAATGTAGTTTATATTAACCACATTACTTTTATGATTAAAAGTGACTTCGTTTCTATCTTTAGAAACCATGTGTAATATCCAAAGAAAGAGGATGTAATGATAATCAAAATTATGATTGTTAAGGGGTTAATTTGGGGTCTAAGTGTCCTTAGGCTAGAGTAACGACCTTAGGTGCTGATCTGAATTAAGTAGGATTGAGCTATGACATTTGCCTAGGCAAGATGGTTAACTCGCTAGGGCAAGAATGGAGTGACTTATTGGGGTGATTAGTGCATTTTGGGAAAAAATTATAAATACACGATTTAGCCAAAAGTAGAAGACAAAAACTCATTCATAACTAGTGCGGATTTCTAAAGACCTCTACTAGGGTTTATCGTTTATGACTAAGGATCTTGAAAGAGCAAGATTCCTCCAAGGTAAGCCCCTATACCTGATCTAAGCTCTTTTACTCCTCTATTCTCTATATCCAATAACTGAGATCTTGCCCAGTCCTTGTATCTCATATTAAAATTCTTAAGGTTTTTCATTTGATTCTCAAATAGAGTACTAACTAGTTTAATTATTCATATAAAACTCATATGTAGATTGAGATAACCTTAGAATTGTCTGAGTTCGTGTGCGATAGAAGTCAAGGATTGAGAGATTGAACATTTGATCTCTCAAAGCTTTGAGGTAACTAAAAATTTAAATTATTATATATTTCAATTAATAACACTATTTGAGAAATTGATTCTATGTCCATTATATTTGAGTGATGAAATTCAAATTTAAATGAGATGTACCAATTTTGTGAATGGCTATTAAATTGATATAAACATACGAACTGGCTTAATCGTTGTTGGATTACATGTATTTATTAACTTTGAAATGATAAACTACTCTAAAATAACTACATATTTGTAAATTTCATGATCTAGGTGAATGCATGATGGTAGGAGTTCACCTGTAAGGGAGTTGTAGATGAGATGAATTATGAATATATTTATATGTGCCTAGTTTCACTTCTCAGATTGGTAGTGTCGGTTGGGCAATTACTCAAGTTCATTGCTTGATTGGTGGTGATTGTTAGGCAAATCATGACACCCTGAAGATTGAGTAAGGAGAACCATGGTCCAAACTAGAGTGAGGAAGCCTTTAGCTGGGTAATTCATTTTGATTTGGAGAGCAAAACTAGCCTAGTAATGTTAACTAGCGCTACAGTGAGATGCCTACAAGTTTAGTCAGAGGAGATAAGGAGGTTATAGGGGTAAACTTGAGCATGCATCATTTGTGATATATTTTCCTATACATTTATATGGGAATGAATTAGTGATATAAACTCTAAAATTATCTTATGCATGATTTACAATAAATATATGGATTACTCAAATTGTATGTTACCACTATTTTATATGCTAATTTAAATATCTTAGTTACCGAGATTTTTTATGAAATCTTACCCAGTTACATTCACTTAATTTTAAGAGAAGAAAAGGGCAAGGAAAGGCTAAAGCCTTGGAAATGAGACATTAGAATAATTTCAGAAGAAGAAAAGTAACCATTAAGGACTACAATTGATAATTATTTTGATTTAATATCAAACCATGTATGGAAATTATACACTCGATTTATGAATAGTAAGTTATAAAGGTTAGCCTAAGGAGATAAACATTAAAGCTTTATAATGTTTTGGGAGCGTTATTGGGGTTATTACACCACGTCCCTATTTTAATAAACCACATCGCTTTTATGATTAAAGTGACTTGGTTTTTCCCACTCTCCTTCTAAAAAGTGACGTGGCTTATATTTTCTAAGTTTCTCATAAAAGTGATATAGATAAGTTAACTTTTTAAGTTATCCTGATCTATATCCCCCATGATAGAGATGTGAAATATCCTAAGAAAGTGACATAAAAAGCTTTTTATGTGTAGTAATGTTGGTTGTTGGATTTTGGTATTGTTGTTATTGGATTCAATATGTACATGTAATTTAAATATGAAATTATTGGTTAAAAGGATTTTTTTTTTGTATGACCACTTTTTAAAAAAATATCAATACAAACTTTTAATGCTACATATTATGGATCACAAGAGATCGATACAAGTGAGTGTGTCATAGAAGACCATAATAGATGTATTTTTAATGCTATATATTACTCTTTTAGTTAATCATAATGTTTTAATGCTATCAATTTCGCTTAACTAACCTTACTACTTGTATTCTTACAAGATATATCTTTAATACACAAAGCCTGTAATCACCACTAAAAGTCAATAATTTGTCTTTATCTTATGTGACCACCAAAAATGTTTTATTATGTGGTGGCTATACTTATACTTTTGGCAGTAACTTTTTAATGCTATCACTAAAGGTCAACTTTTGGCACCCTAAAACTTTTAATGATGAAAGTTTTGGTGGTGAACTTTTATTGCTACTAAAGATTTTTAGCTGTGACTTTGATACCTTTGATGATGACAAAATGTCACCACCAAAAACCTTTTTTTTTTTTAGTGTATTTGATAATTTTGGAAAGCTAGTGGAGGAAATAAGGGCAGAAATTTTTATTTATTAATTTTTTTCATTTTATTTTTATTTTTAAATAGGAATAATTGAGTATAAAATTTAGATTATTATTAATAATATACAAATAATTTAAAATAATAAATTATTTTAAATTATAATTTTTAAATTATTTATTTATAGCATAATAATAAATTATAATAAATATATATTATAAATAATTAAATTAAATTAAAAATAATTTATGGCAGAGTTAGTGATGGAATTATGACAGAAAACTTTATGCCGAAATTTTTTATCACAAATTCAATCATTAAATTGGAATAAGATACTTTAAAAATTAACGACAAATTTTTTTGTCAGTAAATTATTTCTGATGGGTTAGCGATAGAATAATAATAAAATTTTAGCGATGGAATGTTCCATTGCTAAATTTCATCACTAATTTAGCAACAGAACTGGCGATAGATTAATGATGGATTAACAATAGAAATTTATTTCATCACTAATTTGTTGTTTTTATGTAGTGATGTATGCCACTAACTTCAACACTATTAGACTTTTTTAGAGGGTAAACAATCATGGTTGGGATACCAATTTGCATAATATTAATCTGACAAATCCATTAAACTTAAGTAAAAATTGTTTGGAAAATAAATTAAGTAGATATATACTAATAATAAATGATTATTAGTTTTAATAATGGTAATATATATAAATAATTATAAAAAAAAGGCCAATTGCTTTTCTTGAAAAATAAAAGGGAGAATGTCAGGGAGGTCCTAAAATGATCAATTAATTTAACTTAGATTTTAAGTATCAAACTCTATAAATCTATAAGTTTAGCTTTCAACTTTGCAACTTTATTGTGATGAATTTGAAATTTACGTTCTAAATTTTAAAAAAAAATTATTTTTCTATTAAAATTTAAAACACTAGTTAAAAATTCATTACAATGAAGTTACAAAATTAAAAATTAAACTTATAAATTTCTAAAATTTGATACATAAAATTTAAGTTAAATTAACTAGTCTCTTTGAAACCTATACGTCGTGCTCCCAAAATAAAATGATTTGTAGACGGAATAAACATACAAAATTGATACATGTCCGTACAATGTACTGTGCGTCATTCTCCCGAAATTGCTCTTGGTATTTAATATAAAGATGCTTCCTTTGACACTTGTCTCCACATCAGTTTGTTTAATGCGCGCATAACGATGGTATTATTGCTCTTTCCACTGGAACCAATTGGGGAGCTCACATGTACAGTGCTTTTCTTAAGCTTTTATAAACCAATCCATTACCTTCCACCAGGGTACGTACGACATACATCGATCCGCCACCTAGCTCCGCACCGTACAGCAATGAAGCATCTTCCTTCTTGCTTTATCATTCAACTTGTTTCTCTTATTATTACTCTTACTATGTCTTCGCTTCGTGTTCTAGCCGTCCACGACAGTCCCTTTTGGCGTGAACTCTTTTATTTCATGATCATGTCAGTTCTTGGTTTCCTTGGTCTCAAAAGCTTGAAGCCAAGAGTCTCTCTTCCTCCAAGTAACTTTGATCTATTTTTCACTTCTGTTTCTTCAGCCACTGTTTCGAGCATGACAGTTGTAGAAATGGAAGTTTTTTCTAATTCACAACTCATTCTCATAACCTTCCTTATGTTTCTTGGTGGTGAGGGTTTCGCTTCCATGCTTGGGTTTTTATTTTCTTCCGGCTTTAATCTTCCCCAGAAACAAAGCCTCAAAAATAGAGCAACAACTCACCATATTCCGCATCAAGTTCCTAATCCCAATCAAATTGAAATCAGTTTAGTTTCTCTGAAAAAGCAGAATGAACTGGGCGTGGATGATCTTAGTGACAGTAATATTGTTCAAGATGATAAGTTGAGTAGACTGAAGCGTAAGTCTGTTCGGTGTCTTGGGTTTGTGGTTTTGGGTTCCATTATGGTACTTCACTTTGTAGGTTCTGGTTTGGTCTCAACCTACGTAAGCATCGTACCGAGTGCGAGACAAGTACTAAGAAATAAAGGGATCAGCATACAAACATTTTCTGTGTTCACCATAGTTTCCACCATCGCTTCTTGTGGTTTTGTCCCCACAAACGAGAACATTATTGTATTTAAAAAGAATTCAGGTCTTCTCTTGTTTATTTTGCCATATGTTTATCTTGGGAATGCCTTGTATGCGCCATTCCTGAGGTTTGTGATCTGGGTTCTGGAGAAAGTTATGAAAAGAGAAGAGCTCACTTATATTCTGGAGAATTATAAGGAGATGGGTTATGGTCATTTGCTTTCTGGTGCCCATTGCTGGTTCTTGGTCGCTACAGTGTTCGGTTTGAATCTGATACAGTTGGTTCTGTTTGCCTGCATGGAGTGGAAGTCGGAGAACATGGATGGTCTAAATAGCTATCAGAAATTGATTGCTTCTTTGTTCCAAGTTTCCAATGCAAGACATGCTGGCGAATCCGTTTTCGATCTCTCTGCGCTATCTTCGGCCATTTTGGTTCTCTTCGTTGTCATGATGTAAGTAATCATCTCTACTCTCTGCCTAATTAGACTTTGGTATTAATTTGAAAATACCATAGAAACTTGATAGTATATGATATCAAGTCTTATATTAAATAGTATGAGATACTTAATGAAATATTTAAGTAGATTGATTATCCCACTTTAATAATTAACTTTTAAAGTAAGGTTTCTCATTTAATTTTAATAACTATAAATTGATATCAGGCATCGGCTTTTCATGAAGAGCTAAGTACCGTGTCTCACATTGAGTCGTATGATACTCAATGGAGTGTTTAAATGTGTTGGTTTTCCAATCTCAATAACTAATTTTTAAAGTATGTTTTCCATCCCACTTTATTACGGATGAAAATATCATTTTAAATGTTGTTTTGAATGTATGCATGGTGAGGAGACATCTGAACATGAAATGACTTGGAGTAATAAATAGCCACATGTTGAAACTTTAGTGATTTTCGAATGTCCGATTGCACTAATTGCATGCTTGACTTTGTACCAATTGTACCTAGCCACATCAGGACAATTTTTTGGAAATTGCATGCGCTATGTGGGTATATATCTGGAAAATTCCCAGCTGTCCTATTGCACTACTTCAGTCTGTAACTTCATCATATCTGTGAGTGACGACATTTTTTTTTTTTTTTTGGGGCGGGGAGCACTAGGGGCTGTGTCCCACCGAACTCCAAATTTTTTATTTAAATAAGTATAATTTTGTTTTAGAAAAATGTAAAAATCATTGTTAGCTGCGGACATTTGAATAAAATTTCAGTTTTTCTCCACATTTAGATAAAATTTCAATTGTGGTCCCATGTGATGAATTCTGTTTTCATCCCTGTGTGTGTGTGTGAGTGTGTATTTTAACCAGATATACCTTAGTTATATATGGTCTTTTATTGTCAATCATTTTTGAATTCGTATGGTTATCGGGTATTCCACGATATTTTGTACGGTGAAGCTTTTACGCAACTTCCTTTCAAACCCTTGAAAGAACCAACTCATGTATGTTCTTTATTCTTTTTCCTTTCGGTTCGACTATAGTCATAATGATACGAAAAAGTTTAGTTCTACTCTATTATATTCTCTCACATTTTACATTCTTTTAATTAAATCTCTCATTGTTGTATCATCAGAAGGATTTCAACTTTATGATAGATACAAGTGAGAGAGGGAACACTTGGAATTCCTTAGATAATTGTTGATGGGGGAAAATAATGCTAGATTCTCTGCAGCTTTATAAATTCCAATATTCAAAACAATTAATTGATAATATTTTGCATCAAGAATATAATCTAGCTTTCCAGGAATAAGTATATATGGCCAGTGTTCTAATTAAAAAAAGATGAGTTTGTGTGGTAGTAGTTGACTGTGTAGAATTTTACAAAGAGGAATATATAAAATGAATTTAAATATTCGGGCTAGGTATATATTTTCCCTAACTTCTAATTTTTTTCATTTTATTTTTTGTTCTTTAATAACAGGTACCTCCCACCATACACAACATTTTTACCCATAAGAGACCACGAAAATGAAACAAAGAAAGGGAAAGCAAGGCTAAAGGAGTGTCTTTTGTTCTCTCAACTCTCTTGTTTAGTTATCTTCATTATTCTGATTTGCATCACAGAAAGCAAGAGCATGAGAGAAGATCCCCTCAACTTTAATGTGTTAAGCATTACCCTAGAAGTTATCAGGTGATGATTCTCTTATTATCTTTTAATAATTTTAAAATATAGAGAAAGCAAAACTATTAGTCTCTATATTTTTAACATATTTTGGTATAGGTCCTTATAGTTTTTTTTTTATTACTTTTAGTCTCTCTAATACATCTACAATGTTAGTCACTCTATTTTTGAATATATTCAAAAGAATAATGAGGTGACACTAACAATATTAAATATACTGACCTGTAATGGCGTTAGTCACATGTCATTATATTTAATATTGTTATGGTCATCTCATCATCTTGACGGGCATATTCCAAAACAGAACGATTAACATTGCAAAAAAGATAAACTAGAGGGACTCAGATTAGTGAAAAAAGCTAATGGGACTTGTATCAAAATATGTTAAAACTATAATGACCAATAGTTATGTTTTTCTTACAATATATTAGTAAATAGAAGCAAAGATAGTGTGTATAAACTTGTGAGTACTAACGAAAAATATTTTGTACGTAAATAATAAAATGCAGTGCATATGGCAACGTGGGATTCTCAATGGGATATAGTTGCAAAAGGCAATTGAAAGCAGATACGAATTGTAGAGATTTGTGGATTGGACTTTCAGGTAAATGGAGTAACAAAGGAAAGTTCATCCTTATAGTGGTCATGTTCTTTGGGAGGCTCAAGAAATACAATATGAGAGATGGTCAAGCATGCGATCTCTCTTAAGTTTGGATTTAAATCATCTGAATTTGACATTGGTGAATTTATGTGAAGTTTTCTTTTTTAAGAAATGATAAAATAAAGAAAACTTCACTCAAATTCACCAATTTCAACTTCAGGGAATTTGAATCTCTTAAATTAATTCCTAATGTATGAGTGTGTACGTGCACGCACGCATGTGTATGCATCAAAAGCAAGTGTGTGCCTTTTTCCATACAGTTTGATTACAAAAGCCAATGAATTTAGTAAGCTCTGTTCGTATGTATGCGTGAATTGTAAAAACCATTATATATAGTAATCCAGTTAAGACTCCGAGAGCCGGGCACATAAGTCATGAAGGGAATTTAAATAATTATATATTAGTGTTGCGTGGTCCGAATTCATTCTTGAGAAAGATTTTGCTAGTAATCTCCTAATTTTTATTCTCTATGTATTTTACTTCAGATTGTTCAAATGGTAACATTAACTAATTCAAAACCAATCTATCTATATATATATATATATATAGACACACACAGACGGGCACAATGCCAAAGTCGTGTAACTAGAAGTGGAATCAAACGCATGCTTAATTTCAGTGGCCTAAATACACCTTTTATTACTTAAAGGACAATCGGTCCAATGGGAAAAGTGACAGTTACAAACCTTGTGCAATGATAATTGAAGACCTTGAACTATTGAAATGTCATGAAAGATCATGATCTGGTCTTCATTTGCAATTAAAAAGCTGAAATTATTGAAGAAGCCCATAGAAGATCACTCATAAATTATAGAAAAATTAATTGTGAATTTTAAAAAAGTCACTTGTGAATCCATGAAAATTATATTGGGAATATATATATATATATATATATAATATTATAAATATATGCATCATGACTTATAATTTTAAGAGTAGTCCATTTGTGAATTTTAGGAAATTTGCTAATGAATTTATGAAGAATCAGTGGTGAGTGGATATTCAAAAACAAAAGACGATCTCTAGATCATATATTATTACAATTAAGATTATTTATATTTTTCCACAATTGATGTTAAATTTATAAGTAATATTTCATAAATTAACAGCTAATTAACTATCCCTATGTTGTAAGTGATAATATATGCATTCACACGTGACTTTTCATAAATTTATGAGTAATAACCTTTTTAAATTTCAGAAGTGATCTGACTATCTTTGAATTCTTAAGTAGCAATGCAAATATTAAATGAACAAGTTTATCTATCCATTTACAATTGACTTTAATTTTTATCATTGACAAGTGAGATTCCTTAATTCATTAGTTACCTTCTATTGACTATTTCAATAATTATTTGATTTTAATTATAAATAAAGATTGTGGTCCTTCCATGATATTTCAATAGTTTAAGGTCTTTAATTGTCATTGTTACTCTTTTATAGTATGCAAATGTCATTTCCTTATTTATGTTATTACCTATATATCCATAGTTAACTCAGGGTGGGTGCTCCATATGTCCAATTGTGAGAAAGATCTTTCTAAGTGATTTTTACGGCATATTCCATTAGTTAATGGAGAATAATATTAAATGATCAAAAGAATGAATTAAACTTCGATTAGGATCAAAAGATTTGGAAATCTCATGTAAGGACCAATGTTCCTCTAATAAATTGGTCTACAAATTTGTTAACTTATTTCAAGATTTGCATCCATCAAACCAAGAATGTGCAAGTGAGATTCTCTATTTTGTAAATTATTTGTTAATATTTTCAAAAGTTTAGTTGCTAATAGAATATTATGATATCATACAATTCATATAGCTAATTTTGCCTTGCGGGTTTAGGCCTGTAATTGTTGTTGTAAATGAAAAACATGTCAAACATATTACCATTTCTAGTAATTCCCTACTTATATATATCCTTATTTGCAACACCCAAAAAGAACAAATTTACAAGTAAGATTTGTTAAGTTTTGAAAGAAAATAATTTCCAAGTATATTTAACAAGTTTTTTCTTTACAAATTAGCAAATCTCACTTGCAAACTTTTTTTAGGCCGGTTGCCGATCCTAAAATGAGAGTACCAAATTTTAATACCGGTTCCCTAAAAGAATTGTGGTCCTTCTTTGAAATCCTTTTTTTATTAATCCTTTTCATTAAATTATATTATATCATGTGGCCGAAAATTCAATTCCTTTTGAATGATTTCCAAAAAGTAAGAAATATGAGCAAAGATACTAAAGGCATATTGATATTAAAAGTATGATATTATTTCTAGAATTTTATATATTGTAAAAAATAATGAAGTCCTCAATGAGTTGAACTATTTATGATGTGATATATAATCTTTTATAATGAATTTGGTGGAGAAAAGTTTTATTTGATTGACAAATCATTTCCTTCCACAAACGTCCAACCATAAAGGCTGAATATGGTTTTCAAGATTATTCAAGGATAATGATTTTAAATGTCATTTGGTAACTGTTAATTGTTAATGCATGCCGTATTAAAGAGGTGCCGTATGAGGGTATATATAACGCATGGTGAAGAGAGGGAAAGAATTGGACAAAAGTAGAACCTACACTCTTTATCATTGTGTTTTGGTGATGTCTAATCATACACACTTAAAAATTGGAGCAAAGGATGCAAATTTGTGAAGTTGCCAATCAATGGTCTCCCAAATTCGCTTGAAAGCGGAAGTCTAGGAGTCTAAAACAAGCAGAGTCCTAGTGGCCTATGTTGGATAAATACAGGCACACTTGTGGGATATGGTGCATATAATATAATATAATCATTTTGGAAATTATGTTTAAGTGATCTCAAGAGAAATTATTTATCAATAACTCCCGTAAATTTTTAAAAATACAACCCAGTCCCTTGAGACCATGTTGTAAATTGGGATTGGTGTGCAACACGAGATAATCCCTATTAAGGAGATAAGGGAATTTGGTCACACTACTACTGACAGCTTATACGTGGAGCTTGGCCCAGTTGGAGTAAATTGGTGTGCTTGGAATCCAAAGAACCTTAGGAGGCATGATTCTTCAGGGAGAGAATCCCAGAGGAGGCATGCTCCCACATGCTACAGCTCAAGAGTTCAAGTCACATGCTTCAAATGATCCATTACAAGGTATTGGTGGAGCAATACACTACTACAAAATAGTGTATATATGAAGTTTCTTATTGGATAGATATATATACAACTTCTAATAAGTAGAGGCGGAGAAGTATATTGAACAGTTATATATATATATATATAATGATCTAATATTTTCCTTTTATATTGGACGGTTACTTACAAAATCATCCATTGAGTTTTAAAATTCAGAATTATTTTTAATTTTTTTAATTTTAACACATTTAGGATAGTTCTTTAAAGCAACCGTCCAACATATGTGGCATATGTTGGACGGTTGTTTAAAACAATTTAGATATACCCTCTTCTTTTGATAAACATGCCGTATCTTAGCTTTTCTTTTTTCTTTTGTTTTTTTTTTTTGGAGCAAGTTTCTATCCTAGCTAGCTATATGTAAATGAGTGACTTATGCGAGTAGAAATTCCTAGGGCGTTGGTTTTTTTGGAGTTGGTAAGTATACTGGTACAAGGCACTTAGCAGGTAAATTGCGTTCAATTGTTTTTTGCCCACGTAATTCTTTGTGTTCATTAAGAGAGATATTAGCCAAATTAGAAAGGAATTTATTTGAGAAACAATAATAAGCTTTAGTGATGAAAGACACGATCTTCAACTGAAAATGGCTCTTCTTTCATGCTTATTGATGGGTCCTTTTTACTGTATACTATACCTAAGTTTTACAAATGATTATTAAGTTCCTATTCTTTCATTTTTCTCTATTCTCTCTGAATACTTATAATTTTGAATTGTTAGAAATGCTCACTTGAAAGTACCATGCACGTTCTAGAAACTCTGTAGTTTGATTTCTGAAGGCAGAGCTTGTAAATTTTGTAGAAGAAAATCCACACGTCCAAATCCCCAGAAAATTTAATGAGATATAGCCAAATATATAGAGGATAAGGCTATAACAATTTCAGCTCAAAATTATTTACTCAATCATTCCCAAAATTTTACACAAATTGGTCAATAGCTCTAGAGAAACAAGATTTTATCTAGATGACCCTATCAGTTTCTAACAAACTTTCAAGTAGGTTAAAGAAAAAATTAAAGAAAATGACAAGCATAAGAAATAGAGCTAAGACAACAAGAACAATATGAAACTTGAACCAAGTAATTTGGACACACATAATTGAAGACATGGTCACCTAAAGTCCTTTTAAACATATCTTGCCAAGTTGAGTCTTTAGTCATTTCAAGCCTGGTTCAAACTTGCACCTTGTGTGATCTTTCATTCATTATTCCATATCTTTTGATCATACAAAAACTTGCTTGAGTGAAAAATGGTTCCACGCGTGATATATATCCCAGAATGGTTTAAGTTTTACAACTTGCCATTTCACACGTTAGTGTTGTTGAGTTCCACGTGTGAGATCTATCTTCTCGAATGGTTTAGGTTTAGTACAAGCCATTTCATGTGTGATAGTTTGTTGCTTCCACGTGAGTTTTATTATACAAATTTGGCTTTGACATTTTGCTAGTCAAACCACGTGTGAGAGCATGTTAGTTCCACTCAAGTTTTGTCACACAGATTTAGCCTTAGCATTCTGCCAACCAAATTACGTGTGAGGACAAGTTTTCTCACACATAATTGCTTTTGGCTTTCTATCAGCCAAACCATGCATGAGAACATAAGGGTTGCATGTAACCTCCTTCCATATCCACTCGATATAGGATAAGATTAACAAAATTACCACTCTAACAAACCAATCCATAATCAAATTGTTTATTTTAAAAGCTTTGGCTAAAGATTTGTTTCACAAAATCATCACAACCCATAATACATCTATATGATTTCATAGTGGACACAACCCTTAAGTATTCTTATCTCAATTGCACATATTTCAAATCATAAAAATCAAGTTGGAAAATAAGCTATACACCGTGGCGTGCAGTATGTATGCCACGACATGTGGCACAAAGCCACAAGCCTAATTCTCTAGGATATACACAGCTGCATGAGACGCCATGTACCACAGCGCACTAATCCAAAACATCAGTTGTCATTTTGACAATAAAAGGATGAACTTCCGCATGCACTATTTTCACATATGATATCCGATCAGAGTGATTCAAGTTCCCTCACAAAGCTTATCTCATAAGTTAGCTAATGAGACAGGTTTCGATATAATCTAATGATCCAATCAAAATTTGAACACTTGTGTGTAAAAAGTCTTTTTTTTGTTTGAAAATTTTGAACACCCAGTGCTCAAGTCGATCCCTTTCTTTCATTAGACCACATAAAGC